GCGTCATAGACGCAAATGATGCAGACATCTTCTGCTGCAGGTGCTCTAGCAGCGCGTTATCGAAATTTGAGAACTCCTCTAGACGCGCACCGATTGCCTCGGGGCCTTGCGCAGCAAGGTGCTGCACGCCCTCAGGGCCACGCAAGAACATTAGCTTTTAAGCCCGTCCTGCATGCCCTGGGGCAAAGAGGAATATTGTTCCATCCTCACCGTGTCTTCATATTCAACTATATATATTTAGGAAAATCTATACATTTGAAATTTGGCGGCTTTGCCGCAGATAAAAAATTAAAAATTAGTTTTGGATTTTAAACAGAAGAGTTAATTAGCACTGGGTTCTAGTAATAATTACTTTTGGAGTAAGCGGATTGCGATCCGCTATGCTCGTACTTGTTCTAAGTATAGAACGAAAGGTCGGTGATCTAAGTTACGCTACCTCAAAGCGAAAAGGTACGGCAGCCCCGCTGCAATTTATCTTAAGCCTGCTATCATGTACTTTAATGTGATTGACTCCGGATGTCATGCAATTATGCTCGACGTGCCACGATTGAAGAAAGTCAGCTGTATGCTGAGGTGCCTAAAGCGCGGTTGAGTGACATCGTCACTGTTTGGATAGCGAAGGCGACTTGTGTAACTATGACGAAGGTCCCTGTTGAACTCGGTGTCAACGTTATTATACTTCGATAGCGTGAAATGCTGCTTAGTCTTAGACTTGGATTTGAGGTTTGGCCTTATCCTTGGTTCGGTATGGTTGTAAAACCTTGAGCCATGGATCACTTGGAGGTCGAAGACCTTGGGCGCTACGCGCACGTCTCTTGGTGGAGCTTTAATAAGCCATGAACACATCTCTGCTAGGAAACAGAAATGCTGTTGGTGCGGGCACTGGACCGGGACGGTCAACGTGCTGGAGATCGGAGTAATTGAATTGGTGGACACCAAATGTGTTTCGAACAGGAGTCCCGATCATGGTTCGCGGGCTGAACGTGGAGTGGCACGTAACCTACTGGGCAATGCTCAAGTGGAAAATCAGTTGGTGTATAACAAGAGTGGCATGGTTGGCCAAAGTCCGAGGCATCGAGGGCGAGGCCCCCGTGATGCACATGGAATAGCAAGTAATCTACTTAGCACTGCTCAAGTATCAAAGCAGGTGCTGCACACCAAGAGTGGCATGGTCAACGGTATGAAGGGGGGGGTAGACGGCAATGCCACCCTCGAGGCTATTCCTACGGTGGATTCTCTTTTTGAACCGGACGAGATGTCCTTGGAACAGTTTGACGGTGCCTTGAAGGCAGGCGACTTAGCCGAAGTGGTCATTGTACGACCGGACGAGGAAACTAGTCATCACTTCTGGGTGAAGCTGTCTTAGAAGACACCAAGAGGTTGCTGAACGCACGAAGCAGATCGTAGATACTGAAGGATTCCTCGAGTCCGTACTGTCCTATGGTGAAGGAATTCCATGACGTTGTCTCCAAATCCCCGCCGTCGGTTCTACCTCCGGACCGAAGAGTGCGTCATGAGATCGACCTGCTTCCGCGAACGAAAAAACTGTGTAGCATGCCAATGGCCTCTGTCCAAGGAGCAGTGTGATGTCATTGACATATTTTTCTGTGCGAAGCACGGCGCAGGAATGGTGCGTGAGAGTAAAGTTTCCCATTCGATACCCACCTTTTGTGTCCGGAAGCCGAACCCTAAGTGGCTATCGCTCACGTTTACAATAAGCTAGAGTCTACCATCATTCCGGCACAGACGCCGATTCTTAGAGAAATTGTTCTCTAGAACAATATGGTTGGCTGTACAAAGTTCAGTGTATCAATAATTTTTTCGAATTGCTCATGAGAGCGATTATTCAGCTGACAGCGTTGATAACTCCGAGCGTCATGCTCTGGGAGTGTCTGATGATGCACCAAGGGCTACCAAAATCACCACCAACATTTGGTCGGCTTGTGACCCAGTTGTTCAGGCCCGACCGGGCGTATGCACAGACATTCTTTGACGACATCCTCGTCCACAAAAGTGTGAGGCACAGGAGGACTGATGAATAGAACCACATCATCCATTTAAGAACGGTGCTCGAGTGCATGCGCACGAGTAAGCTGTATGCTCATGCAGACAAGTGCATTTTATGCGCCGAAAAAATCACCCTTTTTCGGGTGCTTTGTTGGGAAGCGTGGCCTTCGAGCAAATCCCGCTAAGTTCAAGGCCATTATAGACTGGTTGGTTTCAAAGAACAAAGGGACTTGTGCAGGTGGCTTGGCCTCGCCAACTACTTGTACAATTATAGCGCATATTTTGCGGTAATGGGGCGGCCGCTGTCGATTCTGCTAAAAAAGAATACAAAATGGTATTGGGACACTGAGACTCGGGAGGCTTTTGACGGGGTCAAAGACAGCCTCCTTCATGGACGAATACTGACGTTGCCAGATCATGTTCGTCCTTTTAGTGTCATCTGTGACTCTTCAGACTTTGCCATGAGCTGTGCACTGCTGCAGGCAGACGTCAAGGGGCGAGATCGGGTGGTCGCGTTCGAATCTCGCCAGCTTAAGACTGCTATGAGAAACACCAAAGTCCATACAACGACTTACTTGCGACGAAGTATGCACTTGCCAAGTTCGGGTGTATCTGCTTGGCTCATAGCCGTTCGTGATCTACACAGATTATGTGTCACTACGCACTGTGACTCAGTCGCCTCACCTCTTGCAGAGGATGGCCACGTGGCTCCCATTCTTTGCAGAATATAAC